TCTGCTCACAGTATCAAAAGCTTTGGTGAAATCAACAAAATTTACATAGAGTCCTTTATTCTAGGACCAACTAAAAGACACATATATTCATCATTGGTTAAAGATAAATAGAATTTCCCATTAGCCTAAACAATCTTCAATTGAATTTATTCTTAACAGAACAATATCTTATTGATGAAGTTTTCTGAGGCATGTAAGCTAATTTCTTGCAAGTGGGCATGTGGTGCACTCTCTATTAGTTCCCATGGTTCATCTTCATTCTACATCCTGAAACTAATTGTAGTCCTAAAAGAAAAGACAACTACTATGACAAGAAAGCAAATCCCTTGGTTGATAAGGATATAATTTTTATCTAAGCTTCTAATTTCCTAAGTCCTTTAGAAAGGAGACCCTCTCTCATTTCAGTGAACATGCCCTGCAGCCAATCTGCTTGAAATTCAAATCCAAGAAACACACCAAGATTTCAAATTAGTACTTGTATTAAAACTTCTGCTTATCAGAGGATATTAAATAACCTATCTGTGGATGATTGCTGGGAAGTGTAACAAACTAAGGAAATAGGGGGAAAGAAAATGGTGATGTGAAGGTACATAGAATAAAGGGGTCCAAAAAATTAGGAAAGAGGAGGTTGGATCTAAGCAATGAGACTTTAGAAAGACTTGAAGTGAATGCTGCTATAAATTTCCCTGACACAACACTGGGGTCTGGATAGAAAAGGCTAGAGAGCAGAGACAAAGAGTGCTTGGAGGGGTATGTCTGACATAAGGCAAGCTAGTCTTGCACTCCCGGTTAACAGAGTAAAAAATGCTAGGGATAACAGGCTTGCTAAGACATCCTTGCTTACAGAACATTATTTAAGGAAAAAGTTGCAGGTATTCTGTATTGCCATGTAGAATATTGCATTTGGCAAGGTGAATATGGTTTTATTGCCTCCTCTGATTTCTTTCAAGAGAAAATATTAGAAACATAATTTGGAAAAGACAAATGTCTGAAGGAACAATCAGGAAATACAGATACTTTGTGAATTTTTAATTTGTTATAAAAAGCTTCCTCTCATTCTTGCTCCAGTTTTTAATTCAGTGCAAACAAGAAGGTTTTGGTAAATGAATCACTTTCTGGTCAGGTGATGTTAAAGGTACTAGGAACATCTTTCCTGATTCCATTCAGGAGAGAGGGTAAATCCCCAGGACTTCCAGAACTCTCTCTCTCTCTGGTTCCTGGGTGTGGGTGCCAAGGAAGTAGACTTCTGCAGCCTCATGCTGAGCACTTCAAGGAGTTCCCCTGGACCTGTGGGATGCCAACCATTCTTGCCATGGCAGCCGCCATCCAGGTCTCTCTCTGCAGTTCCCATAGCCAAGGTCTCTCACCGCAGCAGCTGCCATCCAGCTCTCTGGGTCATCCCAGCTCCTCCATTGTTACTCCATGTGGCTTTGCTACATTGGAATCCATGCTACTGACTTGGTGGCATAGAATTTTTCCTTTGGATGAAATATCGTTTCAGGTTTTGTTTTTGACCTGGGGGAGGGGGCAGCTGGGTAACATTTGTCTTCTGTTGTTGGGAGGGTTTGTTTGGGTTTTTTGTTGTTTGTTCTCTTTCCTTTTTTTACTAAAATTGTGGGTTTTTTCCTTCTTCATTCCGACTCCTTGTAAATTCTAATTTGTCAATATTTGGGGGAAGAGAAATAGAAAAAAAGAAAAAAGGAGGGTTTTATCTCATTGGACATCTCACCTCCTGAACATATTTTCAATAAACCAAGACATTTACCCACAAAAAGGTGTTCACCACCAGAAATAGAACTAAGATGGAGGTCGCTCCTCATAGTTTGCTGTAAGACCTCAGCCCCAGAGTGACAAGCTCATCTAGGAGTATTACTTTTAAAAATATACAAGGCTCCAAAAATTCACCCATTGAATGTTTTGGAAAACCCTCAGTTCTTTAATACCTTGAGGTAGCGTAAAGGGAATACAAAACGTGTTTTCTCAGGAGATACTTTTGCTGATAATTTTAGAAAGGTAAGACAAAGGTAAGATGGCAACTGTTCCTGTGCTCTGTGCCATGTGGCAGTAAGAACAAAGGCAAGATGGTAAGGGGCTCCAGAAGCTAATGTTTCCCACCCCCCAGTCTGAGACAATGAAAAACAATGACAGACCCCCTAAAGCTAGGTCCTTTCAGCACCATATCCTATAGCTGTGTCTTGGAGAAAATGTGAGGAGGCAGACAGCACCAGCAGAAGTCCACTTCATAGAGTACCATAGGGTAAGGCCCTGGAGAGAAGAGAGGCCCAAGAAAGATAGTTGATATTCAAGGATCATCTCCAAGCTCAGGAGTAATGCATCCCTACAAAAAGGAACTCGGGCAAAAGTGCCAGGAGCCCTGAGTGGATGAACAAGGAGCTGTTGGACAAACTCAAACACAGAAAGGAAATGTACAGAGAGTGGAAGCAAGGACAGGAAGTCTGGGAGGAATACACAGAGATTGTCTGAGCAGCCAGGGATCAGGTTAGGAAAACTGAAGCCCTGATAGAATTAAACCTGGTCAGGGATGTCAAGGACAACAAGAAAAGCTTCTATAGATATGTTGGTGTTGAAAGGAAGACTAGGGAAAATGTGGATCCTCTCTGGGAGGGAACAGGAGACCTGGTTTCCCAGGACATGGAGAAAGCTGAGGTACTGAAGGATGTTTCTGCCTTAGTCTTCTCTGGCGAGTGCTCCAACCACACTGCCTGAGTCTCAGAAGGTAGAGACTGTGAGAATGAAAAACCACCCACGGTAGATGATCAAGTTCAAGACCATCTAAGGAACCTGAAGGTGCATAAGTCCATGGGACCTGATAAGATGCATCCATGGGTCCTGAGGGAGTTGGTGGAGGAAGTGGCCGAGACATCATATTTGAGAAGTCGTGGCAGTCTGATGAAGTTCCCACTGACTGGAATGTCAGTATAAAATGTGTTTAAAAGTCTCTTATTTAACTGTTTAAAGCCTACATTCTATTACCTGAGCTTGAATATTTTGAGTATATAGCAACATTTCACTTTCTGAATGATAGTCAATTCTGGACAGTCTCCCTCTGTCCAATCGTACATACCTTTAGAGTAAGTTTTTGAGATATGGCTGCAAATCCCTCTAATTAATCTATCTAGGCAATAGAAGTCCATGGTGAAGACCATAGTGAGACAGGCTGTCCCCCTGCAGTACATGTAGGTTAACAGTGGAGCAGAGATACACCTGCAACGTATGGAGGATTCCATGTCAGAGTAAGTAGATATGCTCTGAAGGAAGGTGTGACCCCATGGGAAGCTTGCATTGGAGCAGGCTTCTGACAGGAACTGTGGACTGTGGAGAGGAACTCATTCTGGAGCAGGTTTGCTGGCAGGACCCATGACTCCATGGGCAATGCATGCTGGAACAGTCTGTGTCTGAAGGACTGCACCCCATGGAAAGGACGCTGGAGCAGTTCATGAAGAACTGCAGCCTGTGGGAAAAATTCATGTTTGAGAAGTTCATGAAAGACTGTCTCCTGTGGGAGGGACACTACAGTGGATCTGGGGAAGAATGAGAGGAGGCAGGAGCAGCAGAGGCAACGCATAATGAACTAACCACAATCCCATTGAAACAGAGCAGGATTTTTAAAGATTAACTAAGAGTTGGTACCATGCTCTGCCAGAGTTGCTCTGGTTATGTTGAAATAGAGACAGCTTGTTCTGTTCTACTGACTGTACTGAAATAAGAGATAGAAGGGATGTACTTTGAGTAGTTTAGCAGTCATAAAAAAAGATCTGACTGGCTGCTAAAGCTGGAACAAGGTCGGAGGATAGTGTCATAGTTCTGATTTTAGAAAGGAATTTTGTCTTTCCTTTCCCCTTTCCCCCCTCCCCCCCTGCATGAATGCTGTTAAATGGCCATCAAGTGAACAAAAGAGTCGGCCTGAGTCCTAAATGACCGAGAATTAGTCTCCTAGCAACGAGGGGGGAGAAGTTAGGAAAAAGGCCAGAGTGTGTGTGTGGAAAGAGGTGGGGGCTGGGGGTTGGGAGCTCAGCTCGGGAGCAGGAGGGGAGGCTGCAGCAGAGAGGAGAGACTGCCTGGTTTCTCCTTTGTTTTTTTCCCTGTGGGAGAGGAGTTTTTCGCTGCTATCTCTCTGCAGAGTTGCCGGCTGGTTGCAGTCTTGGTTTTT